TTTTTTTTTTTTTTTTTTTTTCATTGACTTTTTTTAACAATGGTATACTGTCTTTGTATTCGATAACGGAGATGCAGAGATTTAATATTTTATATGGCGGGAGAAGTATTGTGAAATCACGAAAACATTGGAATACCATTAGACGGACATATCGCTTATCGAATAAATACCAAACTCCATAGTTTTAGAGAAAATTTTCAATTTCGAAATTTTAAATTCTTACATTACGCCTTAGAGGTTAAGCGGTAATATCGTAATGGTTAAGTGACATGTAACTTGTAACTTGTATTATATCTGTAAATATTGTTACGATGTACAAAAACTATTTCCAAAAAAAACCCAACGAAATGAAATAGCGCGATTGTAGAGTTAAAGTTATTATAAATAGATGTAAATAATCGTAGCACACCTGTAGCTTATCCACGGAAATTATCTCAAAGCGTTTTGACGTCTCGACGTGAATCCCGATTAAGAAAAAAAAATTTTTAATCTTTCAATTTTTCATTAAAAAAAAAATTATCTCCAAAAATTTTTCTTTTTTTTGCGCGATTAAAGTGTTTTGGTCTTTCCTTGTGAAATTTTCAAGATTTAAGAAAAGTTCATGGTCATCGTCGAAACGTCGAGATGTGAGCACTATGTAAAAAAAAAAAAACGGCGTGTAATTTGAATTATTTCATAAGCCTGCCCCGAGAGAATCCGACGACTCACGAAAGTATACGAGAAACCAAAGTCCCCAAAAAGTCCACTTATTTCGTATTGTCTTAAGGAGCCAACGAAGGAGAGAACAAAAGTGAAACCAAAAAATAATGAAAAGAAAAAGCATATACGACGGACTAAACAAAAAAATATCACAGAAGCCAAAAATCGTAATAATTAAAAAAAAAAAAGAATCGCCCAAAACCATCATCAAATAATTGAATCGACATACAGTTCGTTCAAAAGGGAGACAGAGGGAGAGAAAGTTACTTTTAGCATATCGGCAAGGATAAAAAAACTGATTAGACAAAATCAAAAAAAAAAAAATCGAACGCGATCCTCGCCAAAACCGGAATTCGCGACTCCGTAATCTTGTGATCTTGATTATATAATTTTTTATTTACCCCCCACCTCCCACTATGTGGTGTCCTTTACCCCCCTTCCCCTCCACATGGCGTGTCTTCTTGTACACACTCATCGATGTATATTACTATAAATTAAACTTACATTTTTGAGAATTACCCAAAATTTTTCTTCCTTCAATCCTCCCCCGCCTAAAGCACAAGTAAAGCAGAGTACAGAAATCGTCAAGACTTGCGTCATCGTCGTCCTGACCAGCTGGACTACACGAAGCGTAAATATTTTGCATAAGGCCGAAGTGCGCGTAGCAAACACGACGGAACCCCATGGCGCTCGAGTATGCCAGACTAACAAATAGTGAAACAGGATACGTTCACGAGGACCACTTCGGGACGATTAGTTCACATGGTGTCCCGTTTCCTGCGGCCGTCAATCGGTAGCCCCACTGCGATCCGTGTTACAATACGAGGCTGTTTGCGTTATTAGATTTAGATTGGCCGGCACGTGTCGTACCCGGTGCGCAGCCACGTGGCGCGCGGCAAACGTTACAAGGAATAAAAGCGCGGTATAAACATTCTGGCATTGCTTTTGCACGAATTACGAATTAGCTAGGGTTTTTTTTTCCTCTTTCACTTTCGTATACAGTTGGAGTGCGGCTATTACGGCCGCACGGGTTGGGAAAATTGTCGATTCTTTATACGAGTCAGATAATTGAGATTTAATATTTTTTTTTTTTTTCGAATATGGGATTTCGGATAGAGATTATTTTTTCCGTGGAATTCATACAATTATTTCGAGTATCTAATTATTTTTCGGCTACGCCTTATTGGATTGGAATTCGATATTTTTTTTATTCCAAAATATAAATCCACCCTGTACATCCTTATTGTCATGAAAGTCTTTATTTTCATTCCTCAAGAAGCTCAAAGCTGCGTAATCCACCACGAAACATCGGCTTACTCCCGGGCACGTGTTCAGGCCTTACTATCTCGCGCTCGAACGATTTTAATTCATAATCCACGATGGGGGTAGATTTTGAAAAATCTTTAGCAAGGATCAAAGTACACACTTTGTTGTTGTATTTAGGCTTTTTCGGGAAAAAGAGATAGAGAGGAAAATCCGTGTCCGACGGTGGCTTTTCAAACGAGCTACTCAAGGGGGATGATAATTTCTACTTGGCTGCTAGGGGGATGAGCATAGGGGGAGGAGGGTTTGGCTGCGTATGAGCAATCCAGTTCTCGCACCCCTGACGGATTTCGATAAGATCTCGGCCGCTCGGATCCCATTTGAATTCCGTTTGTGAAGTGCTGGATGCCGCCCTTCAGTGCTATTGTGTTACAAGGGATGCGCGGCCTTTACCATCTGCTGATTACCGGTAATCTTTATTCAACGATATAACGTTACTATACGATGCGCCCTTAAATTGACTGTACGATACGGGATTGATGGGGGAGAGAAATATTTTCATGTACTTACAGCAACATGTATGCTGGCCATGTGTAAACCTGGTCTACAATTTTTGAGTAGCATTGATCGTAAATTACGTTCATTTATTTGAGTGGTGATATCACTGTTTTCAATCGTACAAGAATTAAGCTCGATACTTCATTTAATCCCTGTATGATGCTTGTGCCGTATATGACAAGATCTCTAATCAAATCATTGAAATACCTGAATGAGACCGTAATCGATGATATTAGGAATATAACGTCATTTTACAAAATTTACGTCACTGTTCGATAACGATTAATCAGTTGATATGACAAATTTTTTTATCTATTTTATTATAGACGACATTTCATTGGCGTATGCTTATGTAGCGGTTTAAAAAAATTAAATTCTCATAAAGCTAGGTTGGCCGAGCGGTCTAAGGCGCCAGACTTAAGTTCTGGTTCCCATATGGGAGCGTGGGTTCGAACCCCACACCTGGCAGTGTTTATTTTTCCAGTAAAATAAAATATTTTACACGAATGAAATACTGGGAAATATTTTTAATGTAACTATACCGTTTTAATTAAGCAATCAATGAAATGCTTTTTGGGCGTAACCTTACGTTATGCAAGTACGATATGTTATCGATTACTCGAGGGATCGTTTAAATAAAAATTAAAATCTTACCAAATCCGTATCGCACTCTTATTAATACGATATCAATCCCAGTATCTATCAAAAAATCACAATCTTCTCTAGCCCACGTAGGCACCTGACAAGAAATCGATATTTTAGAAATTATAGTATTGTTCTGGAAGACAGTTATTTTTTATGCTGTACATAATTTATTATTAGTATAAAAATATAATTGTGGATAGTAGCTTGTTACTAACTGATTCGCTATCGCATCCGTAGACTCTGATTGAAAATCACTCTTAAGATCAGCAGATCCTCCAATAGGTGTAATCAATATCCATAAGACACAGTTAGGAATATACGTAAGAAACAAAAGACTTCTCTATCCCATTCTACAAAATTTTCGGCAATGATGCTATCGATATTTATACGCTTGACTTAAAGCCCGATCTGCGATATCAATATCTCTTATCGATATCTGCGACAGACCATGCAGTACGTAGTGAAAGCTCGTGGGGAAATCCAAACGTTGTGCCTTCTCTCTAACTTTTTGTACGTTTCTCCGTTTCCAACTTGCCATATGTACCGCGCTTTCGCCAAGTGAAAAAGAAATGAAGAGAGTATCGAAGGAAGTGAATTTCAGACTGCAAAATTCGTCGTTTCGTGTAAAATCACCATAAGAAACACGATGCGTGAGATTTCTGAGAAATAGAACATTACATTTTCAAGTAACTCGTAAGAAGATACCATGAAATTATTCATAGTGTGTCAGTGGAAAAAAGAAAATTATTGGTCAATAATATATTGTTTTATATTAATAGCTATAAACAAACAACGCGTATTTATTTATAACAGAAAATTTAATGATTTTCATAATCCGGCAACCATAAAAGATATTCGCTTTCGTGGATGCAGTTGCGTAATATGATAGTGGCAGTGCATGTAAAAGTGCAATAAGAGTGTCGGCATTGAGGTTATTTTTCGGATAATCCAGGTAAATCAAGACTTATTACTTTACGTAATTACTAAGATAGAGAGAAGGGATGTGAGGGATTATTCCACCATTCACATTGAAGAATGCGACGGAAACGCAGGTTCCCAGAATAATGAGAACTTCGTCCCAGTGCTCATATTTATATCGACTTCTATTCGGATATCTTCGGCAACCCTCGGCTATATTATTCACTCCGTACACCCTTGGCGTTCAGATTACCCATCGGTATATTTGCTTACTCATTTTATACTGCTCGTAGCAACATATGCTGGGCGAATTTCTCGAAATTTGTCTAAGAGATTAGTTGCTATACATGTAAATAAAATTGAGGAAATTTAACGATCTGAGGAATACTATCAATATCAATAAATGAATGCTAAAAGGATATGACTTACATTATTTATTCATAAAGTCTCGATCTTTAAAAGCACAGTGTATTTAAATTAGGCGATATAATTGCTGGCAAGATGGATGACCTGATAGACATTTACTACAAGTACCTGCCGTGCTATTATGCTTCAATCAGAAATAGAGCTACCACATATTATTTCTCCAGTTATACAATTGAAAATATGTAATACCTTTATCATTTTCTTCTCGCTTTCTATACGCATCAGATTCCATAGAAAATAAAAATGCAGGCGTCGCCGATAGCACCATTGTCCATCAGCATTATACCGAGGCACTTGAAGTCAAAATTGAAACGAAACAATTCTAATTCTCTTTCACATTTCTACCTGCATATTTCACCATTTCAAAGAAATCACTTCGCGACTGTTCCATTATCAGAATTCACAAGCGACATCTGAATTTCGTTTGCCACCGAAATAATTCTACTTGTACCGTAAGTAGAACAAGCAAGAATCCTCCATTACAGGAAAACGTACGATGCGCCATCTAGTAAAGAATTCTGAAGACTCATCTAAAAACGGGACACGCTCTGCAGGCGTCTAAAGAAACCCCATAAAGATTCGCGCCAAGCGAATGTCGGTAATACAGATTCCATACGAGAAACTACATGTTACCGACAAGAACACCGTTCAATACAAAATAGCCAGCATCTAAGTAACGTAGTTCACGATTATCCCGCTAGTCGCATAACAGTTTGTAGCCAGAGATCAGTAGGGAGATGCACAACACTACGGTTTTAGGCGATACCAAAAACATGACGCTAAATTGTAGCGGCGAGTCCGGGAATAGAATTTTGTGATCATCGCCTCCGTCAATAATGCATATCCCGTCGTAGCCGAGCTGAACGTGATCACGAACGGATAGCCTGACGGGCAGAGTCCTCCGCTACTTATCGCTGGTTTCCAAAGCAACACTTAGAACGAGACAACTCATCGGATATAGCCTAAATACTTTTTTTCTTTGCAATCCTAAATTCGATCGCACAGTGTTAGCTCGGTAAGTTTAATATGACAAAAGCAAGCAACTCATGTCTGCCTGCACTAAAGCGTATGATGCCACATGCATATTTAATACATATTTTACCGATGTTGCGTAGCAGAACGATTGTTGAAACCTATCAGAAACTGTAGAACTTCTCGAGAACTATTGAAAAAGCCTATTGTTGAATCATTTTCAAGAGATTTTAAAAAAGTGCGATGCTGGAGCTGACATCCGTGTATCACCTCCATTTTTGTAATGTTAATATAATATGTATTATATGTATTAATATAATATGTATGAATATGTATTTTAATAGAGAGTCCACAGTGTTCTTCTCTTGTCGGTGCGCTATAAACGCGGAATTGGCAAAATCCAGAAGACTCGCGTGGACGAGGAGAAATTATTTAGAAGGCAAAGAATCGATGAGTGTATCACAACTGCGATGTATTTGCGGAGAGAGGGGAAGGGGGAAGGAAGACCGGCAAAACGCGGTTTCCAAGAGACCGGCTCTCGAAAGACTGACCTCTGAAACAATAATACATTCTTTGTATACCACTGGATACCCCCTCCCCCCCGCTCGAGTACTCCTTGGCAAAAGTGATGCCCCCCTACGACAGGTTTGTCAATTACAACTCGTACAGGGTTCGTGAACGATGCTCTCGAGTGACGATGCAGGCTGATCGGTGCAAGGCAATTGTTCGCATTTCAGGATATCGTTGACGCACCCTGTAATGCTCCTAAAGCGTACGTTTCATTAGCACAGCAGAGCTCTAAGTGCGTCTCTCTCGCACGCATACGGATTAATACATTGTTTCTACTACCTATAACTATACCATCTTTAACTTATAACTATACTACCTATAACTTTTTTGAAAAACTCAAAAAAAAGGGTGTCTATACCCTGTACCTGCTACGTACTTATCTTGAATTTCTATAATTCCTGATAGGTTTTAACAACAGTTCTGCTACGTAACATCGATAAAATACCTATTAAGGATACTAGTAGCACCATATGCTTTAGTGCAGGTATGCATAAGGAGCTGGCTTTCAGTGTTGTTTTCAGATTGTGCTTAAAACAGTTCCGGAATAATTCTCTCTAGTACTCAATGTTGGGATCATAGTTCCGCTTGGAACCATTGTTAAATAATGATGGAAGCTAGCACCGCATCTCGACTCGCCGCTACGATTTAGCGCCATGTTTTTGGTATCGCCTAAAACCGTAGCGTTGTGCATCTCCCTACTGATCTCTGTTGTAGCACACGCATTTCCAAAACATATACACTCTAACATTTTTTTTCTACACAACACTTTAGCAGCCGCTCTCATATGCATACTCGCTGGCATAAAAAGAACGCGTCACTAATCTCAGGCTATTCTCCATAAATATTTCACGCCATAAATCATAAACGGACAAGACTGCACGCGTCACAAGAGACTCGTTCCAACTAGGAGTCAGAACGTTAAGGTAACAAGGTAACAGTAACAGAAAATTGACCATGAAACAACTCGTCAATGAAAAGTATACTCTGACAACATTTCTTGGAAGATAGAATAAGAAGGCATAATACAAATGGTCCAAGGAGAAGCATCATGGACATCGGTAAAAGGAATCAATAAGTACGAACCATTTAATACATAACCGATTATTCCAACGAGAAAAAGTGACTCATTCATATGAAGTAATTAAAAATGTCTACCGTAAATCATGTAGGCACTTGTGGTATACCTACAAAAATACGATGCCTGTTTTATGGAATTAATAATGCATTATTAATAAAAAATAAATGAACGTGAGAAATACGGCAAATTCCTGAAATCTCAAATTTCACGAAATACCACCAGAAATTTCGAACCCGCAACAATCTTACGAATAATCTAAGTATGAGAATTGAGAAAGAACGAGCCTGCTCGCCCGTAAAACTCCATTTCCAACTGGCGTCGCCACGTGTACTTCATCGTCGTACTGGTATTCTTCGTTAAAGCTGCGTCGAAGAATTTCGGCTGAGACCACTGCCGTAGACTGAGCGTACTTGTAGTATCGCTAACAAAAATATGACAGAAATTAAAAAAAAAAAAAAAGAAAAGAAACATGGCCGTAAACACTGCACCATAGCCTGTGGTATTCGACGATTCAGCGTAAGGTAACCACCGCGCAACACGCCACCAAACGGCCGCGGTTCGTGCTAATTTGGTTTTATGTTTCAAAGTGATTATATTCTCTGGCGAAACGTTATACGGATTTAAACGGCTCTTTAATCTGAAACAAAGCGTTGCTCTCGGATGCGTGCCCATACGTGGTATACTAAGGCGACGACCCCACACATCGTACGTTTCACATTTTTCTACACACTAGATATACTGGTGACTATATTAAATCACCAGGACACTCCCTTCCTACAATTAACAGCCCACAATTTCTATAAAGACCCATATGGAATAATCGAACTAAAATAATTTTGGAATTTTTTTGCAAAGTGGCTTCCAAAAATTTTAGTTTACCTTTACGAACGAGCATATACCCTCTGGTATACACCACAAGGAAATCTAGGAAGTCCTGTATGGGATTTTACAAAAATGTCTCCTTATTCACAGATGATGACTTTAACAACGGTGACTGGCACGACGTCGAGCGTGTCCAAGCCTCGACTCTTAGGAAATCCTTGAGGGCAAAACGTTAACGGAGGTTCATGTTCAAGGCTACGTTGTTCACCATGAGGAATGGTGCCTGAGGTTGTGCAGACGCGTGCACGTGTCTAATCAAACGTTAACACATGGCAAATCAAGAGACCAAAGCCTCTAGCTTAACTACCCGGAGTATATAGAATCAAGTATGCAAGTTATACCATATCAAGTATGCAAGTTATACCTATCAAGTATGCAAGTTATACCATATTACAGCCGACTGATACTAACTAACCACGAGCAAGAGCGAGAGCGTGAGAGAGAAGAGAGAAACTAAAATCCGTTGTCAGGATATTCAAAATGTCTTTTTCAGTCCGTTCGTTTGATCGCCGGACGATTCCTCGAGTGTTTAAGCGCCTATAATTAAGAGATAGAAACGCTCTGGCCCAAATTTGGTATGGACCGCTGAAGACCTCCGCGTTCCAGTATAAAATGGGCCCCGACGTAGCCCATGCCTATATCGAATCTGCTTGAAGCAGGATCGTCCGAGCCCTAAACTCCTAAACGTACACTAATGGAGAAAATACAGTGAACGGAAATAAGATGTATTTTACGAGGGAAAGAATGTCACTAATATATGGTGATACTAGGCCGTTTGCCATAAAGTAACGTATGATAAAACACGGCTAACATCCTTGATAGGTTGTACGCGTGGGAAGGAGGCGTAGCAGGTAGGGACGTTCAGATTGGTATACATCGATAGGCTGAGATTCGAAACAAGATTGAGGTACCCGATATGTCTTAGTATAAAGTACACTCTGAACCATTAATACACTGTCCACTGGGGTAACGTCCCATAAATAGTACGATATGAAAAAATTACAAGTAATATCAGCCTAAAGGTGCAAACCATAGTCCCATGATTACCCATGCACGAGCATCATTGACATTGCCCTACAGAAACTCCAGCCAGAACATTTTCACTCTACGAGATATCCGCCTCGATCCGATCTATAAAACCGTCCTGCCTGGCATATAGATCTTGCTTCTATCGCCCACGAGAATTGCCACACGATCTTGTAAAAAAAAGTCAACGGAAACGAAACAGACAATGCATTTAGCAATATTGCCAAACCGATAGGCATCGACTTCGATAGGACTATCGCATCGATCGTTACAGATTGGCTTTTCTATACTGATGACTTTTTTTCTCGCTTATCTTAAATCTTGCCAGGGAATCTTTGCAGATCTTATCGGTACAAGAGAACTAATCAAAGCTGTCTTACCGGTGCCCGATTTTATTTGGCAACTATCTTTTCTCGTTATCTCACTAAGATTGCAAAGGGTCTGATAAGCCAGTGGTCAAATCGAAGATCGAGAGGGATGCAAAGAAGACGATAGCAAAGGGAATGGACCAGGAGGATCGGGTTGGATAGCGGTACGACTGAGACTGCCCGGAACGATTCGGTTTAAAAGTTTTAAGACTCGGAAATAAAATACGGGCTGCCTTATACGGCGCGCGCAAGTCGGGATGTCGGTAATTTATGGTACGGGACAAAGTGGCTCTTGCCCGAAGAATTTTTTCTTTTTTTTTTCTTTCGTGTCAAGAGCGCCCGATCTTTGCGAAGAGGGGGTTGGGAGGGGGGCTGGAGGTTCGATCGGAAATAGATCATGAAAAGTTGGCATTTCAATTTTTTAGTTATTGATTTACTATCACTCCTTTTTATATAGAATCGTATTTCATATCTATAACCCATGACAAGTTACCCATGCTTGTATTTCATCGGTAAAGACTCGAATATCTCTGATGAGTCCCA